CCTTTGTTCTGGCCACAACGTGTTGCTCGTTCCATATCCCATTCACGCTAGGATGCTCAACCACCGCTGTCGCCCATTTATAGAAGTTGGGAGTCTTGGCAGGCAGATCCTTGATCAGACTTTGTGGTCCAACACCGTTCTTCGGCAGAGCCAACAATCGCAGGATGAAAGAACCCGTCAGCACCTACCCATCAGGTTAGCATGATCACCGCAAATACCTTCTTCATGCGCAGGGAAGGTACCTCGGCCAACGTCAACTTTGTATTCCCTGCAAAGTAAGGGCCCGCATCAACCAACAGTGGTTCAACCTCCGACTCAAGCTGCTTCCTAAACTCAGCTGCAGCCTCCTCGGCTTCTTCTTCGGACCTGGCAAAAAGCGCCTTGTTATAGTGGGGATGTGCCTTGCTGAAGTAAGTGTCGACGAAGAAGCTGATCCTGGCACGAGCAAGAGCCTTCTCAGGCGTGCCTCCGTTTGGAATCAAGTGAGAGGGGTATGCATCAACCAAGAACTGGACAACAATGGCGGATTCTGTAATGACGTGGCCATTGTGTGAAAGGCTCGGGACAAGGCCGCGGGGATTGACAGCCAGGTAATCCGCGGTACGGGGAACGCTCAGATCGATGATTTCCTCCTCAAACGGTAGCTGGAGCTCGGCCAAGGCGATATGGGCTCGGTGGGCCCCTAGTAGGTCCTGTGTCAGTGTTCATTTTCCCCAAGCATCTGCTGTTCTTATCCGTCCATAGTAGATGACGCACAGGGGCAACCGTGGTTGGTATAAAGCTTGATAGAAGCCGTCATTTCTACCAGATCCAGCAGCTGAAAAAGGGCGTGGCGTCTTTGACTGCTTCTTCGACAATAGCATTCAGGAAGGATGAGATGAATACACAGCCCCTTTATATCCGATCATTACGCGATCCATGCGCATCTTGATGCAATTTTCGCGATATGCGAGATGCTTGATAATGCGCGCAACTACCCCGCCCCAGACCCAACGACTCTCTGTGAAACAAGCTGCATAAGGCACTATGTGAGACTTGCGCTGCTATTTGCTGAGTAGCTATAATGGGAAGATTGCGGACTATATTATATGCCGCTAGAGTCTTGAGATACTTGCGCCTCTTGAAATCACTGTATTTATAAGATGTGTTGTATTAGGCTGTGAGTTGCAAGCGGTTCTAATTACTGGCCAAGTACGTAGATATATTAACTAATTATATGTACTTAAAAGCAAAAGAAAATGCCTTACGCATGCTTATGCCACTCAGGTACTATGTTCATAGAGCTGCCTACTAAGTAGATACCTATTTACCTATAAGGTAAGGTAAGGTAGGTAGGCATTTACCTAGTAGGTAGTTAACTTTAAAGTAGG